GGGGGATGGGGGTAGGGGTGTGCATACATTTCTCTGCATCCATAGGTCTCCAGGTCCATGGATGTGCTTGATAGAATGTAGGTATCCATTGTTTAGCTCAGATAGCACAGTCCTGGAGACAAAGTATGGCCGAGGCTTCCTGGCTTCCTGTCTGCCACATCTGTGATTAGGTCCCAAGTTCTCAAGTCCCCAGCTTCCAGATCATGGCAGAAGGGGGCGTTGCATCCATGGGTCAGTCTGTAACTGAGATTCAGTCGTGGAATCTCAACCTGGAACCTTCTATTCCATCTAGTTTGCTGTAATTTTAATCAACTGATTTTTCAATAGTAAATAGTTTTCTGTCATCTGAAGCTGAGCTAAGACACATTACTAATAATTAAAGAAATATAGATTATCAACAATGCTGTTATATCTCGTTCATCAGTGTCCACACTTTTTCAAAGACTAGCGGAGGACCTCACACTGGTAAGACTGTCTGTACTGAAGGCTGTGTCTTGAAGAAAGCATTGTCTAGCACAGTTTGGTAGTAGACACCTGGAAGTAACAAGTTTATTTCATCAGGGATTGTACCTAGAGGACGCTGTCAAAGAGAAACAAGGCACGTGTCCTTAAGGAAACACTTTCCAGTGTTGACAATTGCATCACTATGCGGAATGGGGAAGGGATAATAAAGGAAGAACTGAAGCCCCCATCAAGAGGGACAGCCTAAAGAATCATTCTAGAGTCATTCCTGGCAATTCTTGGCAGCAAAGAATAAGACAGAGGAACCCACATGATGGACAAGACCATCGCTGCGAGTGAGAAGTAAACCACTGAACAGCAGGTAGAGTGTGACCTCATTTGTGACTGAAATCATGCTTTTTTTTTTTTTTTTTCTTTTTTTTTTTTTTGGTCTCAACACACATGCGCTTGCATAAACATGGAGGAAGGTGAGAAAGGACACAAGCGAAGCTGCCTGGGGGACGGTGAGGGTGGCAGGAGAGCCTATCTGTGCACAGCTTCCGCTCATGTTCTCTCTCGTCTAAACTCTATTGTTGGACTGTCTTATGGCAGTCTACTCACACATCACATTAGCATACAATTAAACTCTCTAGGGAGCAAGATTCAAATTTTCCAATGTCTAAGAAAAGATATGTGTGGATATTTCCTAGAGGAAGCTGGGAGAAAGAGGAGGCAGGACAGAACGTAGTAGCACTTCCGGGATCTAGGCAGAAGGATGTGAATGTTCGCTGAGCTAGTCTTACAACTTGAATTCTTTTCATAACGTACAATAAGAGCACAGTAAATAAAAGTCCTTGGACACACACCGTTTTCCTGCATAAGCAGATTTTTCCAGATGTGCAAGCAAAGCCTGTGGCTTGCTCAGCTGTAATTACGGCCAAAAGCTATTGGTATTCCTCCATTCCCTCCCCCACCCCAGCTGCTTAGAGTAAGCATGTCCTCGCCCCCGTGGCCAGTGTCTTGCAGAGGCCACAGTAGACAATGACTGGTGGACAGGCCCTCTGAGGACTAGGCCCTGCTGGAGAGCAAACGCCAAGCTGGCCTTCCACTCTCTCTTCTTGACCCTTTAATTCAATACATGTCCCCCAGGTGTGTCTGGACTCTAGCTGGTGACGGTGTACAGAACGCATGTCCCAAAGAAAGCGTAATGCCTCCTAGCAGCCTCAGGAAGAGCCAGGTGGCACTGTCGGGAAGATGCCATGGAGGTCCCCTCGTGGCCAGCCAGAGGGCTCCGAACAGACCCTATTCATCGGACTTTGCTCCTTAACCTGGTGTTTATTTTTGAGATAGCAGTCTGAGAAGAATGGGGGGAAAAGGAATTGCAAAAGGGGGGTGGGGGGTGGGGGGGAAGAGCTGGAATTTTAATGAGAACCATCTGGAGTGTTTTCCAAGAGCGCAATGTTTGGAACGAGAAAGTAATTCCTCAGCTCAAATGAAGAGGAGAGAAATGGGGGAGATTGTTATATTGTGTTTACCCTCAAGATGCTGCCAAACAGAACTGCTTAAACGGGGCAAGTCACCCTGGAGCGGGGCCGGGGTGGGGGCTTTGGGAGGGGAACAGCAGCGTCGCCTCTCGCTCTGACGGCTCTGACGTTGCTGCAGGGAGAAGGAATGCTTTCTGTCTGCCAGGGAGACTTTGAGGGATGGGTTGTGGTGGGCCCCGAGCCAGTCCCTGGAATCTGGGTAACTATGGAAACGGGCTAAGGATGACAACAAACACAGGATGGAATTTCAGGCTTTGCAGCAGGCCAGGGAGGGATGGGAAAGTTCGGGAAAGTCTCGCTCCTTTCTGTTCTCTTTCCCCTTTCTTTCCTCTCTTTTCTGCTTTCCTTTCCTCTATTTTAAGTTGGGGAAAGAAGGAAGGCAGCCCCTCTTGCCCCAGCAAGAAGCAAAATTCTCCAGAAGACTCAACTTTTTTGCTTTATCCTTTCGTTTATGTTTAGCCTGTTGTATCCACTCAAGCATTTTATAGTCACTAAAGCCACTCCTGGGAGGCATCTCTGTTCACTGTCTAACGGGTGGCAGGCCATCCTAAGGACAGCCACCCTCCTTGGGGACTTCTGTGCATCTTCTCAAAGCATCCTCACCACAAACCTGCAGCCCAGATGGTAGGGTCCCTAGCCTACAGATGGGGTAAAGAAACCCAGAGGCAAGATCACCTGGAAATCAGGGGCCAGCTGCCTAGGCCTAAGCCCAGCAAGCCATCATCCTGACAGCCTTTCTTCTGAGAAAATAATAATAATAATAACATGGCAGCCAAATTTTATAAAAGAGAATCAAGCTGCTTACAGAGATGGGGGTGCAAATGGCAGCATCCAAATGGCTGCAGAAGCGGCATCAGCTCCCACCTCAAGTATATGGCCGTGAGGGGATAGGAAAGACCGTGTGAGGGAAGCAGAAGAAGCTTAGAGTTACTAAACAGAAAAGTTAGAGAAACAGTACAAATTCTGGAATCTCCTCTCAGTTCTAACTTAGAAACAGAATAGCCAATGTCTGTTTAGGTATAACAAATCGATCCTTGTCCTCCAGATAGAGAAACCCAGGCTCTATCAGAACTTTCAGAATTCTGCTACTGACTCCATGTTGTTTTCTTGTATGAGCCAGGGGTCTAGAAACAAGCTCCTGGCTCTATGCCTTGGAGTAAGTGGGTTAGGTAACTACTGCTTAGAGCAGAGGCTTGAGTCTGGGGTCAAAAGAGAAAACAGTGCATGGGGGACAGGCATTCCTCAAGACTGTGTCAGTATGGTACAAAATCCACTCAAGTTCACCATCAGGACCACGTCAGCAGCTAGGAAGGAGCCTTTGTCCTGCAAGGAGCGAGAGACTCAACAGCTAAGGATTTAACCAAGAAGATCACTCTAAATCAGCAAAGTCACATAATCCCCCCACAGTTTCAAGAAACCATCTTGCAGCTTCATTAGGAAAAAAAAAAAGAAAAAAAAAAAGAAAAAAAAAGTTCCTGAATAAGCCAACAGGAAGTAAGAAGCACAGGAATTTCTGGAAACGGGAGAGTGGTTTTTTTGTTTGTTGGTTTTTTTAAATGGAAAAAAAAAAAAAAGTTTTGAAGGAAAAAGGAAGTCCTGACCCACATAAAGATAGAGTTTCAGTAAAGCTAATTTGAGACCAAGAGGACCGATGTGAGGTGCTCGGCAAGGCAGTGAGGGCCAGGCCCTCAGGGCTCTGTGTGGAGCCGATGTTACACACTAAAAGCAAACTTTTACCAAAATGCAACCAGTCTGCAGGAGATTGTCCATGGCCCTGGTGAAATTTAAGTGTGGAAACATTTTTAAATTGCTTTAGCATTTGGCAATGCTGGAATGCTTGTTATTTATCCTGAAATAATCGATTTTCTCTAAAGCTGCTTTGTAAAATTGCATCCTGAAAACCCCTTGGAGGGAGTGTCACTCAGATTCTCAACTATGTGTGTATTGGAGTATGTGGGGGAGGGTGTGCCTGTATATATGTGTGTGTGTGTGTGTGTGTGTGTGTGTGTGTGTGTGTGTGTGTGTGTGTGTGTGTGTAGAAGCCAGATGTCAACCCCAGGCATTTCTCTCAGGAGCTGTCCACTTCGTTTAGGTTTTTTTGTTGTTATTTTGGGGGTGGGGATGGGGGTGATTCGAGACAAGGTTTCTCTGTGCAGTCCTGGCTGTCCTGGAACTCGATTTGTAGATCAAGCTGGCCTCGAACTCACCGAGATCCACCTGCCTCTGCCTCCTGAGTGTTGAGATTAAAGGCATGTACAGTAAGGGCTCCACTTTGTTTTTGAGACAGGGTGTCTCACTGGGACTTGGGGGTTGCTGGTTAGTCTAGAGTGGTTGACTAACATGCCCCGGGGGGCCTCCTTTCTCTACCTCTCCAGTTCAGGATTAAAAGTGCAGAGGTGGGGGTAGGGTGTCTGTGTGTGGTGTATACCGGTGCACATGGCCATGCTTGTGCATGTGGGCCAGAGGAGTATATCCTGTGTCTGCCACCTTTTTCCCTTGAGACAAGGGACTCTCCATGAACCTGGAGTTGGGCTGGGGCCAGAGACCAGAAGCCCGAGCAACCTTCCTATCTATGCCCTAACGGCTTTGGGGTTACAGACAGACACATGTGCCACCATGCCTGAGTTTTTATGTGAATGCCAGAGATCAATCCCAGGTCTTCATGCTTACATGGCAAGCACTCTCTCAACTGAACGTCTCCCCTTCCTCTCAACAAATAAATTTTTAAAAAATTTTTTTCCGGAGCTGAGGACTGAACCCAGGGCCTTGTGCTTGCTAGGCAAGTGCTCTACCACTGAGCTAAATCCCCAACCCCTAAATTTTTAAATTTAAATTGCATTATTTATTTCTGTGCATATGTGGGCCCTCCATCAGAGGGCAACTTGAAGCGAGTCAGTTTTCTCCTTCTACCACACGGATCCTGGGATTGAACTCAAGATTATCAGGTTGAGCAGCAAGCATCTTTACCGGCCAAGCCATCTCGCCAGCTCAACAAAAAAATTTTTTTTTAAACCGCTAAACAACAGTTTATTCATTCCATTAAAAAAGGAGGTAAACTTCAGATTACAAAACCAATGTAAATATAACTTTGAAGAATTAGAACATCTTCAAGAAACCAGTCACAGCTTAACTGAAGTGCATGCAAACATGGGTTGATGTCTCCTGAGGAAGGTCACCTTCCTCTAATGTGTGAAAAGTTAATGAGGTACACTTCCTTAGTCACTGAGGAAGGAATTTCCTTTCTTGGTGAGCTGATACTATTTCCTCTTTGTAGATCTTATCCTTCTCCTTTCCTTGGTTTCCCCCTTCCACGGAGCTTCTTTAGACATCTTTGCTCATCCATAAAATCCTGATGCTCATCTCTGTAAAGGCCAAGGAAACGGAGTGTGCCCGTGAGTGCAAAATACGTGTTGTGATTTGGATACCAGTCGTAGGTCTCTTTCTTTTTGGCCAAGGGCTGTCCACTGAACATATTCACCACTTTCCTGGACTTCGAATCAGTAGGTATGGCCACTTCACCAAAGATCTGGGCACTCAGATGAGACATACGCAATGCATATTCTGAAAGTGAAGCCATGCCTTAAGCAGTGAGGAACAAGATTCCCTGAATTTGACCTTGCTTGAGCACGTTCTGGAAAGCCCTCAACAAATATTTTTAACACTATGCCTATCCCTAAACAAGGTTAAGTTATCAGATTATTGTTGCTTCTTGGGCCGAATGCCATTTCTAAGCTTTTCATTTTAAAACATAAAACGAGCTGTGACTCCATGCGTCTCCCATTGGGTGCTGCGTTTTCTACCTTCAAATACCTTGAATACTTCACAAGCTTTAGGAGGCCACTGCTCCTTCCTAATGAGAATCTTCTGTCTATGATTCACAGATTAAACTCCTATAAATGGTTTTATGTACATGCTCAAAATATGTGGATCTGCAAGAAGTCTGGGAGTACTCATTTAAGTGTGTATCTGCTCGTGAGAAAGTGTGTGTGGGAGGGAAGGCAGGAGCAGAAACTACTTTCATTTTAAAAAGCCAGGAGGGTAAGCAAAAACTACTGATAGACATCATCAAAGAAGTGAGAACACAGGGCACCAGGAGGGAAGACAGCCATGTGTGTTCAAATGGCCGTGCCTTTCATCCTTCAAGGCAGTGGTTCTCAACCTTCCTGATGCTGTGACCTTTTAATCCAGTTCCTCATGCTGCAGTGACCAACCCCAACCATAAAGTTATTTTTGTTGCTACTTCATAACTGCAATTTTGCTACTATTATAAATTGTAATGTAAATATCTGTGTTTTCCAATGGTCTTAGAAAGGGTTGTTAGACCTCAAAGGGGTCACAGCCCACAGGTTGAGAACCATTGCTTTAAGGCTTTAAGGCACTGTTCCTGGATGAGAAACCATGAGTTGACAGCAACCTGCATTGAGAGCAAGGTCCCCACTGCTGGTGGGCTCCACACCTCTACACCACACTCATTTCATGCCAGCCTGACTGAGAGGGAAGGAGCCGTGGAGATCACCTCAGCCCAGGGTGTGCACAAGATCGTCATGACAAGTGAACATGTTTTCCAGGCCGAGATGCCTCTTTCTGGTCAGCTCAAGATTGTTTCGTTGGATGAGTAGAACCTTGATGACAGACATGCTGCAAGTCAAGATCACGTTCCAGATCCCTTCATCTCTCCATCACTCTCGGGTTCCCATGGCTGTCATCCAGCTTTCGTGAGTGGGGCTAACAAACATCACTCCTGTTTCTGCCCAGATGCCTCTGAGGAAAGCTCCGAAGCTGAGCTCTACGGGGTCATCAATGACAGATGATGAACACAGAAGCCAGATCCAAGAAATGGGATGATGGAATCCACTGGACCTTTTGCTTTGGTTGGAAGATTTAAATGCTATAGGCAATTATTATTTCATATGATCTACCCAGATCCAGAATTGGTGAATTCAGTGTCTAAATGATACCACAGAGATCCTGGTCCGTCTTTAAGGTTCTTGAGTCCTAAGCTCTCTGTTGTCATGGTTACGGGATGAGGTTCACAGCTCTGGGCAACCTCTGCTCAATTCAAAGCAGAAAAGGGCCTATCTTCTCTCTGTGGTTAATCTGGGCCACTGAGAACTCAGCCTTGTGGACTGTAGGCCACCATCTTGTGACCATGTTGTGATGACATGTCTAAGGGCAGCTCAACTGTTTGAGAGAAAGCCAAACCAAGAGACAGGACACATCTGCACGCAAATGTCAACCTGAGCCCACAAAACCTCCTGGACTTCTTCCATTACCCAAAAGCTTTCTCCTCAACTTGGTTGTCTGTCACTGGTAGCCCCAAGGACCTACTCACATGCTCTTCTTGTAAAAAGGAAAAACTGTTGACCTTGAGCTCCAATGCCCATGTGGAGACTGGATGAAAACTTTTCAGAGTTGGTTCTCTCCCTCCTCCATGTGGGTTCCAAGGATCGAACTCGGGTGATCAGGCTTGGCCGCAAACATCTTTATCTGCTGAGCCATCTCACTGGCCCCAGTGGCTGGTTCTCTTTAGAACTACTGAGATCATGATCAAAAAAGCAAGATGAGAAATGGTCACAAGCTAAGCAGACTAGCTAGCTCCATATGAGCAGATATCCGGGGTCATTCCTGAGGTAGAAAATGAATCCTGGGAAGGCGGGTAGTGAAATGCAAATAAAGAATCCAGTTTACAGTTCTCCATCTATGTTAATTTCTCCCTTTTGACAAACACTCTGGGCTTTTCAGATGATATGAGGAAGTGGAGTGGCCGAGTCGGGAAAGTGCTTTCCATGGAAGAGTGAGGACCTGAGTTTGACCCCTAGAACCTACATACAAAAGTTGGGTGTGGTGGCATATGCTTGCAATCTCAGATCTGGGGAGGCAGAGATCCTCGGGGCTCACTGGCTAGCCATTCTAGCCAGATCAGAGCACCAGGCCAGCAAGAGACCCTGTCTCCAAAGAACAAAGACAGAACCAAACAAACAAACCAAGATGAATGGTTCCTGAGGCATGATACCCAAGGTTAAACTCTGGTCTCTACACATATGCACACACGTGCACAATTACACAAGTACCTCACACACACACACATACACACACACACACACACACACACACACACACACACACACACACACACACACACACACACAATGATATAAAAGATATAAAGGAAGTTTGAGTAGAAACTAACTTTAGGGAAAGCTGCCTATTTTTGTCACTTTTCTGTGATTCTAAAATTATTCCAATTTGGGCTGGAGAGATGGCCCAGCAGTTAAGAGCACCAACTGCTCTTCCAGAGGTCCCAGGTTCAATTCTCAGCACCCATATGGCAGATCACTTTCCAGGGGACCTGACACCTAAGGCAAAACACCAAAACACGTAAAATAAATATAAAGAAAGAAAAAAATTTGCTTAAAAAATTACTCCAATTTATTATTATTATTATTGGTTTTTTCGAGACAGGGTTTCTCTGTATAGCTTTGCGCCTTTTCCTGGAACTCGCTTTGGAGACCATGCTGGCCTCGAACTCACAGAGATCCACCTGCCTCTGCCTCCCGAGTGCTGGGATTAAAGGCGTGCGCCACCACTGCCCGGCCAATTTTTTATTTTTATACTTTACTAGCCATTAATGCTTTTAACTCTCATAGTCAGCCAAGCTGAGTTCTTCAACTCACAGTTAACAACACTAAGTCCCAAGGAGGTTAAGGGACCTGCTCACGGCACCTGGCGATTCCTGTCAGAGCCAGACCTGGGACCAACTCTTGTCACCTGGGTGGATGATTCATGCAGCCCAGGATGCCGGGGCTTTCTCACAGAACTCTGTTCCCATGGAAACAGAGCTTTTATAAACATACTCAATTCCCTTATGGTGCTCACCACACTAGCTCTGGATTATTACATTTCAAAGTCCATTTTTCACATTGATAAATTACACAATTATAGCCATCCAAGAATGAGCTGTAGCATCACACAAATGGAATTTGTACTAGAAATTTACACTGCCATATGGCCAGCGGATTAACATTAACCGTAAATAGAAGCCACCACACACTCTCTGGTGCTTGCCAATCACACCCCTCTGAATTAAGTATTTTCTGAAAGGCAGTAGATGAACATGGTTGATGCAGAATAAACCATAGCCACCACTTTCCTAAGGACATTTTAAAGGGATTGTGCTTCAAATCACGTAGGTGGGGGTGACGGTGACGTAGTCTGGAAAAAGGCTCTATTAGCTATATTAGATGATTCAAGAAGTGGCTTCGGCGACGACAGATGTTGATGTCAAAGACTCATTTGTAAAGTGTGGGTAACATGTGTCCCATAAAATGTGAAGGAAAGAAATGAGATCCCCACCAGCTCTCAAGGGTCATCCCTGTTTTCAAGACTTCTGCTGCATCCGTTCAGATTTCATAACCCAGTGTCAGGATGAGACGATGTTCCCAAATGAGTGAGAGAGAGTCCCTCATCTGCTTCCTTTCCCCAAATTCATCCACTCCTATCCTTCAGTGTCCCCCTCCTGCCGAGCTCTGTCACCCATGCCCTGGTCCCCTGTGCCAACAGCGATGTCATCTGCAAGTGTTAGAACCCTCCACTCCTCTCCCCACCCAGTAATTACCCCTCTCCCATCCTGTGGGTGCCAGGCCCTTGGGCAGAGTCCAGGCATCCTGGAATGCCGATCGCAGAATGTCAGAACCCAGGGGATCCCTGAGAAATGCAGACAGAGATGGCTAATGAGCACTCTTTCCTGTAATTGCCCTGACTATTGGAATTATCTGATCAGAGCTACGGCACTTCTCTTCCTCAGCACAGGGACACGCCTCTCAATAGAGGGAAAAGCCACATGCTCGGATGTTTGCCACAGTCTCCTTCATTAGCTGATGGTTATGTGACAGAAGATTAGAAAGAAAAAAAAAAAGATTTTGACAGAGAAGAGTGCTGGGCCCAAATTATAAAAAGTAATTTAGAAAGAATGTAGGCAGCTCCCTACAGTTAAGTTCCAAAAGGGCCCTGAAGGGACTCAGGGGGCATTGTGTGACAGAGGCGGGAGCTGAGATCCAGTCCTTGGAAGCAGCAGGTCCTTCCTGTCCCAGCCAGCCCTCCAACCAACTGGCCCTGCTCCAACTAATGACTAGCTTCCCTGGATCTTAGTTTCTTCATCTGAAAATGACCGTTCATGTGCTCTCCAGATCCAAGGCATTCTCTGCCAACACCAGGAGAGCCGAATAAATTATGGGCCATCCTCATGATAGAATATCATGCAGCTGCTATGAGTCCATTTCCCAAGAACACTTGATAATGTGAGAAAGTGCTTGCTACACAGTGTGAGCGAAAAGGAAAAATAGGAGGAAAGAACTAAGTGTGGCTTACGATACAAAAGGGGAAAACAGGCCTGAGGGGTGGGGGGGGGGCAAAGATGTTAGTACAAAAAGTACTAACAGTGTTTACTATGGGCAGTTGGCATTCGTTTTTATTACTCAAAGAACTCAAAATTGTATTTAGTAATACAAAAGAAGCCAACACCTAGTTTTAAAATTCCAGCCATACACAAGTGCAACAGTAGAAATTATAGGCCCTAGGTTTAATCCCCAGGGTGGAGGAAGAGGAGAAAGAGGAGGGAAGGAAAAAGAGGGGGGAGAAGAGAGCAAAGAAGGGAGGGGAAGGGAAATAATGCAGTCAGCCCTACTTGTAATGATTTAAAGGGTGTGGAAGCGAGAGGCGGGAAGAGGGGCGAGAGTCAATACACAGGCATACCTACTACCTTGGAGTGATTGCATTTCTTTATTAAGTAGAGTCTCATAATGTAAGGATTAT